GATAACCTAATCTTATTGTTATTAGTACATCTCCTCCTCCCACGTCTTGGGTGCTTCTAATGCCTGAGTTTTGACTCTCCTGAGTGCAAACCCTGGGCTCTCCAGCACCTGGTTGTCACAGTGACATCATGTGTGGCCCAAAGGGAGATAAGCTTGCATCAGGAGATGCAGGCAGGGCACCCTCTCGAGAGCTATGGGACGTCACTGTCTGCCTTACAGGCCCTGACCTCCGGAGCAAATTCCTCCCCAAGTCGTATGTCCAGCCAAACCTGAGCTTGAGAACACCTATCCGCCACCGGCCTGGAGGAAACAACGGAAAATGTTCCAAGAATCCAGTATGGCCTCAACTGAGAGCTGACCTCAGAAGCCTTTTCCCTGGCTGAATCCCAGACCTGCTGAAAGAGACTTCCAGAAAGTCCCTCTCTCACCATGGTCTCTTTTAAGCACAAAGATGTATCCATGGCTTGTGGATATACACGAGGAGGAGCCAAGAGAACTATCTGGGCTTGATACAGAAAAGCTAGAAGCATACGGAGGAGGCAGTGATCAGGCAGCCCCTGAAACAGAAAGCTGGAGCGACACAGCACCAAAGCCGGGAGGCGGTGCAGCAATTATGCCCGGATGCCCGGCCAGCTCACACGCCTTCTGTCACCTGCAGGGGAGGCAGGGAGAAAGGCAGAGAGTGCTGTAGACCCTTCCCAATCTTTAAGAAGGTTTAGTCACGGATCGTGCTGAACTCCAGCTTGCAAGGCCCCAGAAGGGACCAGCAGGCAGGGTGAAGAGAGGCACACTCTGGAGTCCTGCCCCGTAAGGACCAGTATGGTGTGAGTAAAGCACAGACACGTAACAGACCCTTTAAACTTGCAGAGTCTAGAGCCTTCTAATGCAACTCTTAGTGAATCCCCTTTCTCCCTTAGAGGTTCACCATGTCCTCTCTTTCCCAACTGGCAAAGCCAGCAAATACACCAGGGAGGGATTACTGCTCCTTCTTAATGGACAGTGCCTGATTCCAGAGCCCTGGACGTAACCCCAGATGTGTCTGTCTGCCCCAAGCATTTACAGCAGGAACGATGGATGAGAGCATAGAAGCAGGAAGTTTGGCTCCCCAGGGATCACATTTGACAGAGGTCATCAATTTAAGGATTTCATGAGACTATAAAGGAACTCAAGTGTTAAAAACTCTTTGCAACAACTCTTTGTAATGCCAGAGAACACCAAGGTGTTTGGGACTCATGGCCCTCTCTGAGGCCACAAGCTCCTCAGACAGCAGCTAGACCTGAGACAGGCAGAAAGATGCTGTAGCCATCTCAGAGGCATTTAAGGGACAGGGGCAGCCTGAATGGAAGAGACTTGGATTCTACTCCCAGATGCTACACTAACCTGTTTGAACATTTCAGTAAGTAACTCCACCTCTCCAGGTCTCAGCTTCTCCATACAGTAACATGAAAGTCGTGCAGCACGGCAAAATGAATCCCCAGTTGAAACCAAGAAGAAAAGTGCCTTTCTTGTCAGGAAGGTAAATTTTAAAATGCAGGACTGACTCTCTCTCCACAGTTTTCAGTGGGTCACTTACTAACTATCCACTAGGGAAGACAGCCACCTGCAAAGGCTAGAAAATCCAGGACTAAGGGTTTCTAGAATGCTAAAGGAAGTCACATCCAAAGTTCTGCTTTGAGTTCTCCCCTGTAAGTGGATGAAGAAGCCGCAGAGAGTCAGTGAAAGCTGGGGAGCCCTGAGCAGATGGTGACAGCCACTTCTCGGGGAATTTCCAGGACACTAAGCAACATTGGCAAATGGCGAACTAGGCAGCTGCTGGAAGCCAGGAGGGACCCATCTACCCCCAGGCTGCTCCCTCTTCTGGTTGTCCTGGCTTCTAGGAAGGCAGGAAACCCTTGTTCTCAAGAGGAAGGAAGCTTCCTTTTTTTTTTTTTTTGAGACAGAGTCTTGTTCTGTCGCCCAGAGCTCGAGTACAATGGCGCGATCTCCGCTCGCTGCAAGCTCCGCCTGCTGGGTTCATGCTATTCTCCTGCCTCAGCCTCCGAAGTAGGTGTGACTACAGGCGTCTGCCACAACGCCCAGCTAATTTTTTGTATTTTTAGTAGAGACGGGATTTCACCTTGTTAGCCAGGATGGTCTTGATCTCCTGACCTC